CCAAAAAAATTTGATCCGAGGAATTGGAGAATTTCGAAAAACCCATAGGGGGGACCCAAAAACTTTGATCCGAGGAGATCATAAGAATTTCGAAAATCCCATAGGGGGGAATCCAAAACTTGTATTGTCGAGAAAATTTGGGGATGGGGGGTGAAAGTGGGAGGGGGAACCTTAAAAATTTGATCTGAGGAGATCATAAGAAAAAAAAAATTCGAGGCGCGGGGGCGATCCGGATGACGCTGCAGAAGGCGCAGCAGAAGGCGCGGTCGGGGGTCGCGAAGGGCGCGCGGGGCGGGCGGCGGGCGGGCGCGCGGGCGGGCGCGCGGGCGGGGCGCGCGGGCAGCGCGCGCCGCGGCGCGACGGCGGGGTCGCGAAGGAGGGTCGCGAAGGGGGGGGGGTCGTGGGTGGGGGTATTGGTTGGGGGGGTCAAGGGTGAGGTAGTCTCGAGGGCGAGGTCATGGTCAAAACCGGAAGTAACACCTAGGTGTGAAAAGGTGACCCTCCAGCCGCTGGTCCTAGACCGGATACACCGCCCTGTAGAAGGCCTAAACCGGATACACCTCCCTGTAGAAGGCCCCTAAACCGGATACACCGCTCTGTAGAAGGCCCTTAAACCGGATACACCGCTCTGTAGAAGGCCCCTAAACCGGATACACCGCTCTGTAGAAGGCCCTTAAACCGGATACACCGCTCTGTAGAAATTATGACTACTTATATATATATATATATATATATTATATATATATATATATATATATATATATTATATATATATCAGACACCTACTTGCCATACTCCGTATGTGGAATTGGGTGGAGCGGCCAGCCACAGGGAGACCCAGAAGAATCCGAAAATATGAAGACCTTCCCCCTTGCTTTAACTTCATTCCAATAGGGTCGGAGGCCCTTGGAGCATGTGGCAAGTGTGCTCTAAAGTTCCTCAAAGAGCTGGGTGAAAAGCTCATCATAGAAACCAAGGACCACAGGGCGACCAGCTTCCTCTTTCAGAGACTCAGTGTTGCGATCCAGAGAGGAAATGCCTGCAGCATTCTGGGCACACGGCCCACTGCCGGTGAGCTGGACGATGTATTCGAGATGTAGCTCTGAGTTACATATGTTGTTTTACTTTCCATTGTAGTTTTGTGAATGTTTGGCCAATGTATTTTGTCTTTAAATAAAACATACTTGAAATATAGGGGGTGGTAGGATAAAATTCTCAAACAGCTTCAGGGAGAACCTTGAGTTTTCCCTGAAGCAAGTCCCTAGGTCAGTTCTAGAGGTGGTACCTCCCTATATTATATATATATATATATATATATATATATATATATATATATATATATATATATATATATATATATATATATATATATATATATATATATATAATATATATATATATATATATAAGTACTACACCACTACAAAGGTCTTGAACCACTCAGAAATTATATATTTATATAGTGTTGCCGTCATCGACGACCTTTAATTGTCCCCACAGTACGTTTGGTTGTAGCATACGCTGAAGGAAGTTGATATGTCCAGGATGGTGTAAGATAACGGAAAGGGAATTTTTAAAATTTTTAAATACCCCGGGCCTTTCCCCCCAAAAATCCCGCAAAAGGGAAAAAAACTTAATTTTAACCTTACGTCGGAAGGGGCCTTTAACACCCCGTTTTTAAAATTAACTGCAAACTTTAAACCCCTTCCAAAAATTTTTGCGGGATTGGGTTTTTAATCCCCAAAGGGTAAAGGGCCTGGGGGTTTCCCGGTTTCCCCCCTTTAAACTTTTTTTTAAATTTTTTTTATTAAACCCCGGTTTTTTTCCCACCCAACCAGGGTCCCGAAAAAAAAAATTTTTCCCCAAACCTTCCTTTTCCACCCACACTGTTTTTCCCAAAAGGGGTCCAACCCCTAACAGAAAACCCCTTTTAAACCCCCCCCTTTCCAAATCCAGGCCCCCCGTACCCCCATTTCCAGGGACTCAACCGGCCCTTTGCCGGTTTCCCTCCCCCCTTCTAAATGTAAACCCCTCAAAAACCTCCCCAGCCCTCTTAAACCTTTTTGGGTTCCGTCCCCTCCTAAACCCCAAACAAGGCTAAGAGGGGGCCTGCTTAAAGCCCCCAAGCCCCTCGGGACAAAAAACCCTTTCCTTTACCCCCCCCCTTTTAACCCCTTCCTACCGACCCCCAAAAACCCCCCCTTCCTTCCCAAAGATTTTAAACACCTCAAAGGGGGTCATTTGGGGGTTTCGTTTTTTGGGGGCCAAGGGGAACCAAACCTCAAAATTTTTAAGCCCCGGGAAACTTTTGGGTAATCCCAACCTCCCTTTTAACTTCCCAAATAATCGTTTCTTTTTAAATTTCACCCCACAGGGCCCCCCTTTTACATTTCCCACTGCCCCCTGCCTTTTCCCGCGGGGCAAACATTTTTCACCCCTCTTTTATAAACAGCCCAAAAAGGCTTTAAAACTTACTGGTCCTTTCCCCCCTCTTTGGCCCCAAAAAAATTTTTTTGCTCCCAGACTCCTGGGGGGCCCCACCAAACCGCTTTTTCCCTCTCAATTATTTGTTTCAACCTCATCTTTCAAACCCCCCCTTAAGTTTTAAAAATTATAGAATACTTCCCCTAACCTTTCCTACTCCCCCCCCTCCTTGTTTTCCCCCACCTTTAATTTTTTTTGTTTTTATCCACAAACCCTTTCCTTTTTACCGACCACCTTTTTTTCTCTTTTGGGGGGCCATTGCCCCTCCAAATCCCCCAATCTCGGTGAAAATTCCTTTAGAAATTTTCCCAAGGGAAGGTTTAAAAAGGAGCCTTTGACCAACTCCCACTTTTGGGGTTGGGCATTTTTTTTTTTTAAACCCCCGGGCCTTTTGGGCCCGGACCCTGGCATTTAACCTTTTTTACCAACCCCATCTTTTTAAATATTATTTAAAAAACCCAACGGGGGAATCACACATCCTTGTCAAAGGGGCCTATTTTTACGGGGAAAAAAATTTCCCCCTTTTTCCTACTTT